GGGCGGGGCCGGGGGCGGCGAGGTCACAGGCGTCAGACTACCTGGCGCAGAGCCTGGAGAAACGTGGAGAAGAGAACCCACTTCCACCCCAACCAAGAAACACACAAAGACGGGGCACTGTCCTTTAAAAAAAAAATTTATTATCGTTAGCAGCACAAATGGGACCTGGGACTAGTCCGCTCCTCGACTGGAGTGTGGCATTCCAGCGCTGTGCAACGTTCCATCTTCCTTCCAACCTCGGCCTTATCCTGGGGGAGGCTCTGGCCAGCCCGGCTGGGCTAAGACGGAGGGGGGTGACCTTTAGGTCAGTAGGAAGATCGAGGTAGGTCATGAGGCCTTGGCTTTTCGGCGTTGGGTTCCCCAAAGAAGGATGGAGATGAATAATGTGGTGGATCCCAAAATCCCAAAGAACGTAAGCAGAGAGAACGAGCCCTGTGAATAAAAGATTTAAAAAAAACACCTCATACACCTCGTATAGTGTTACTCCAAGGGCTACATCCTAACACCCAGTTTTTTCCTATTATAACTCTCCCTTCATCCAGGGCAATTCCTTCAGTTTCCTTCACTAGGTGATTTGCATCAACTCCTGGTCTTATGGCTCTTCTTTCTGAGAGGTTTTTGCTCTATGCATTTCTCTCATCCCTAATAAGAAGACTTAATTCCTCACCTGGCGCATACACTTGTAGCCATGGAAGCCATCAGCACAAACACATTGCAAAAGACCTGGACCATCAGGCACACAAGATCCATTCTCAGGACATATTTCTAGGAGTCAGAGAGAAACAGAGAACATCACTGGATCTCATATTTCTCAAATACCTGCTTCAAATTAGATTCTTTCAATTATTTCCATGTCAAAGAGGAAGAAAGAGTATAGATAATCAGAACATCATAATATAAATATATTTTAAGATCCTTTCTTTCCAAGGGGTTACAGCTTCAGAAGCCTGAACAAAAAGGCACATGAGCAATCTTACTATCTTTCTGATCTAATGGGGAGAATCCAGAGGAGGAAAGGCAGTTCCCCAAAAGGGTGGAGAGGAAACAGCATACCTGTGTCCCCAGTGCTATTGCAAAGGTTCCTTTGTCCTTCACAGGTTTGATTGTTTGGGTAAAATGTGACAGTATTCCAGGCATTAATACCTCCAGGACAGTTGACATCTTCTGGTAGTATCCTGAACACAGCATAAGCAGTCTTAATATGCAACCTATGTTGCTGAGCTCTCAGCACTGCCCCTCTTTGATTCTCTCCCCAACCCCATACCCTTACTCACAGAGTCTGGAGCTGGATAAAGCCGTGGAAGGTGTTGGCCAAGTCATCGTTGAGGGGGTTTGCGTGCAGGTCTCTGAAAAGCACACACTATTAGCACTGTGCTTTAGAAAAACACTCTATTAACCCATCTTCCTGGACTGGTATTCCAGTTTTCATTCTGAGCTGTCCAAGTTTAGGTATCAGTATTCAAACATTTTTTGAGGAGTACCTCCTCAACGACTTTCCCAATTACCCTTTGTCATAGTCACTTTTTGGTAAGGAGGATAACCAACCACTTACATGATGATAGCAGTATGTGCTTGAGGAAAGTTTGGACCAAGGTGCTTCAGAGAACAGTTCTGGAGATCCAACCTGAGGAAATAAGGTAATCAGTGTAACTACATGTCTCTCTTTATCCATTAGAGGCTAACACATCCCTTTTTCTGCTAAATATTAGTTGAACACAGATGTGTTCAGGGCTACAAACTAGGTGCTGTAGTAGATGTTTTAATGCTGCACTGTCCAATTTAGTTACCACTAACTAGCTATGTGTAGCTACTGAAATTAATTTAAATTTTAAAAAATTCAGTCCCTCATTTGCACTAGCCATATTTCAGTTAATCATTAACATGTGGGTAACAGCTACTGTATTGAATGGTATAGATATAGAATATTTCCATCATGGCAGAAAATTCTTTGTATCTATGCATAAATTGGAAGAAATTAGTTTCTTGTCTAGATTAGTGAATCTCATATTATGATATGACCTCAGATCCACAAAGGACCTTCAAATGGAAAAAAAAATCCAAATCACATAATCGAAAGTTTTTTCCAACTGCATTTTCTACCACAGATTGGATGTAAAATGCTGGATATTAAGGAGCATGCCACTTTATTTTCTTAAATATCTATTGCTGTCTGTTCCTCTATTCTACAAATATTTATGGAGCACCTACTAACTGCACAAATTTGGAATATAAAAATAAAACCCTCAGTATCTTAGCTTTCTTTCTTTCTTTTTTTTTTTTTAGCTTTCAAATGGCTTACAATGTAGTAGGAGAACAAGACCAAAAATAGGATCAATATAAACATTAAAAGCCTAATATGCTGAGTGTCCAACCATTGTTGGACTATCTGATCAGTCGCTATGATGCCCACTGACCATCAGGGGGCAGACGCTCTGACCGGTAGGTTAGCTTGCTACAGTCAGGCTGATCCTGACCAGGCTAGATCTGCAGGACACACCCTAGAGCCTTCCTCTAGAGCCCTCCCCCAACAGATGGTGCACAGGTGGGGTCCCTTGGCCTGGCCTGTGGGGGGTCGGGTGGAAACCGGCAGTCTGACATCCCCTGGGGGGGTCCCAGATCGCAAGAGAGTGCAGTCCAGGCCAAGGAACCCCGAGGAACCCCACCGGTGCACAAATAGTGCACAGGGCCTCTAGTATGAAATAAATCACAGGGCAGTATAGAAATAAAATTGATTAGTACAGACATTAAGGATTAGTGGGAGTAAAAAAATATATTACTGTGGTATTTAGTAGTAAGGAGAATTCACAAAAGATGCTGGAATTAAAGAATGGAGCCCAGTTGGTATGGCTCAGTGGTTGAGCATGACCCGTGAACCAGCTCACTGTTGGAATCCCATCCCCAGTAGGGAGCATGCAAGAGGTAGGCGATAGCCGGTTCTCTCTCATTGATGTTTCTACCCCTCTCCCTTCCTCTCTCTCTAAAAGAAATAAAAACATTAAAAAACAAACAAACTGGCATGCAGTTTCAACCAGGATGAATCACAGGGCTGTTTACCCAGCCAAAAATGCTATAACAGGTTTAGAAGTCTGAGCATTATCGTTGAGATGCCTCCAAAATAGGCACAAATATTTATCCCAAAAGCCAGTCAGGCAAGCCTTGACGAATCTG